AGAGATTTGAGCATTCACATATTTTGTACTATGGGGATCCTGGAATCCCCCCAGGATATCAAGAGGTGGCTGCATTTGGAGAAAGGACCTTAAAGATTACATGAGGGCATACAAGGGGGTCTCCATCCAATCTGACTAGTGTCCTTCTGAGAGGGGGGAAAGACACCAGAGATTCATGCCTACAGAGGAAAGGCCAGGTGAGGACACACAGAAGGGCTGGCGGTAAGCCAAGGGGCACTTAGGGAACCCAAAGCTGTTGACACCTTGACCTTGGCCTTCCAGCCCCAAGAACTGTGAGAACATCAACTCCTGTCATTAAGTCTTAGCAACAGTTTCAGACAACAAACTAATAGAAAAAGCACTAGAGATGCCACATGAGTTATCCCAGTCCACCACCTGTGCTGGGCAGATGGTTAAGAGAGACCAGTGGAAACCGATGGGTGAAATTTCACTACCCAGCAGCATACTTGACAGTGAGTCTGAGGATCAGCTGAGAAAAGGTTTTATATTATTGAGAATAAAAGGGAAGTCAGGTGTCAAAAAGTGATTTATAATGCTCAGATAGGTCACAGACGTCAGCTAGATATGTTTGCTGTGTAATGTGTATCATACCAAGGTGCTGATGATTATCCAATAATTAGTAATTTCTTTAACAGCTATCAATTTATGGAAAATAATTTTATTGGCCTGAGTACTGGTTAACAGTGTAGGCTTCTGTCAACTGGCTGGGGATTGAATCTTTACGTGGCTACTAACAACAGTAGTAATTCTGATACAGGTGATTCTCAGAACACCTTTTGTGTATTTTGTTTTGTTTTTTTGGTACTGGGGATCGATCTCAGGTCCTTCTGCTTGCGAGGCAGGTGGCAGAACCACTGAGCTAAATCCTCAGCCCAGAACACCTTTTAAGAAACTTATCAAAAGGAATTTCTTCTCTAGGCGAGGCCATTGAATTATGATAAGTGCCATAACTTAAAATATGTTTAACTTAAACCACCTTTGACCTACTGTCCACATGAATGGCTGATAGCAGCACCATTGTACCTGTAAGGTTTCACCAGCTGGCCCTGAAGTGAGGGGCGTAAGTGTGTAAGGGGAATGGTGGGTGTGTAAATTTGCTTTTAAAATCCTGAAAGATATTTTCCATGAGTGTTAATAAGTATTGATAAACCATACATTCTGATTGGATGTAGCCCTCAGTTTCTCTGTAGATAAACGATCTCAAGCTGGGTCAGTCAAGGTGAGCATGGGTTGTCCAGGGCTCCCCGCTGGACTGCGGCATGACTGCTGCACCTGAGTGGGGACAGAGGGAGGCAGGAGGAAGCAGCTTACACAGAAAACAGTACGAGACCTAATTTGTTCGGAAGAAATGGTCTATTCAGCCAAAAAGTAATAGGTCCACTGCACATTAGTTTTTATATCACTACTGAGGATTGAACCCAGGGCCCTTACACTGAGCTACATCCCTACCCCTTTTTATTTTTTATTTTAAAACAGAGTCTTGCTAAATGACCTTGCTCAGGCTGGGCTTAAAAATGCAATCCTCCTGCCTCAGCCTCCCCGAGTGCTGGAACTACAGGCATCTGATACCATGTCCACCCGGCTGCAGATTATTAGTCTTGTCTGTAGGCTGTGGGCAGCAGTTTAGAGATCTGGGACCCTGGTGAGAAAGAGAACTAGCTGAAGAAGTGCTGCATTTAGGGTGGTGGGAGAAAGTGTAGGATTAACCAGAAGCTGGGGAGCTCCACCTGGAGTTTGGTAAAATACAACAGTGATGCCTCAGGACTGAGCAGGGAGTGACGGAGGCTGAAGTTGGGGATAACTCTGGATTCCCTTTGGGGTTGTGAGTTTCTAAAGTCTGTGTGCCTGTTTTGGTTGACGGCTGAAAGCTATTTCCCATGGGTCAGGTTGAGAAGCAGCCAGGCTCAGGTGAGGAAGTGGTCATCATGGAGGATAGGAAGGTCAGATCCAGAGAGGAGCAGCTCCAGGTTCCCGGAGGCAGCTGCAAGAAACTCATCTGGGTACCCAACAGTTCAGTTGTACAGTGTTGCTTTTCAGAAAAAAAACCAAATAGGTTTTAACAAAGGTGACTGTAACAGACAATACTGATGTTGTTTACTTTGAAGTTTTCAAATTGAGCTTAACATCTTTGCACTCCTTATTTAAGTCAAAAAACTTTTAATACTATTGGTTCATTGATTCCTTTCCTTTAACTTATAATAACTAAAATATTTAGTAGAAAGTGAAAATTATGGCTATGACATTTGTAGTCTTGGGCTTCTATTTTACTGGAGGTGTTTGCATCTTTCTGTGTACAGTGGACCCTTGACTTACAAACTCAGTTTGTTCTTGAGGACTGATTCTAACTCAAGTTGGTCAGTGAAGGCTCAGGCTCCTCTACACAGCCTTCACAGTCTCTCTCCTGTACACAGGCAGATCTCAGTGTCCTCAGGGAGACACTGCCCAGGATTTCTCAGTTGACCCCACACAGGAGAGGATGCTATCATTTTCCTTCCAGAACTCTTTAAGGGTTAAATCTGTATCTGAGACCATCTGGAAGAAAAAGTAGCAGGCATTCAAGTGGTAACTCAAGACTTTGGTCATAAGTTAAAACTAAAATTCTGGTCATAACCCAAGTTGTTTGTATGTCAGGTTGGTTGTAACTCGAGTGTCCACTGTATTTTATACATAGCTTGTAATTTGTGCCACTTATATGTCACATATGGCCATAAATTATCTCCCAGTCAAAATGTCTTAGCTTATTAATGCAACTGTTTTCCTTTCCAAGCCAACTAAGGTGAATCTTCCAACATATTCCTAAAAGAAAAGGGATTTGAAAGTAGACAGGTGTTTTCGTTTACTACGTCTTCTCTGCCACCTGGAAGCTTTTTGTGTTTATTACCGTAGTTCCATTTTGTTTGGACATTTGCCCTAAGATATTTTAAAATGACATTCCTTATCATAAAACCACTACATATTTACTTAGAATATTTGAAAATCATAAAACCCTAATGTAAAAAAAGTAATTCACAAACTTACTACTTAGAAAAAACTGTTAGCAAAATATCACCTACTGATTTCTCTTCTGTCACTTTCTCTTTCTGTATAAACACAAATTGGTAACATATTATCATTCTATGTATGGCCATAGGTTGTTTTCCACTTGACATACCATTAGTATATTTCCATTTTATTAAGTATTCTTTAAAAACAGGATGTTGCTGACCTTATAGTATTCTATGCTAGATTTACCAATTTTAAGATTATTTCTTTTTTTTTTTTTTGGTACCGGGGATCGAACTTGGGTCCTTGTGCTTGTGAGGCAGGCAGCGGAACCACTGAGCTAAATCCCCAGCCAACTTTAAGATTATTTCAACCTTTTGCTACTGTAAATATTACCTACCTCCTGTAAAAATATTTTAACTCAACCCTGATTTCTCAAAACAAATTAAGGAAAGTCTGGAGTTACTAAAAAATCAGTTTCATCTGTAGGGCTTTGGTACACTTTTGTCAAATGTCCACTTGCAGAGGGTCACAGTTGCTCTACCATACCCCTTGTGGGATGAATGTTAACTTTAAAATATATATCACTGGCCGGGGGATTTAGCTCAGTGGTTCTGCTTCCTGCCTCACAAGCACAAGGTCCCGAGTTCGATCCCTGGTACCAAAAAACAAAACAAAACACATATATCACTATTAAAGAGAATATCTCATTGTTTTGTTCATGTTCCTTTTATTACCATCGAGGTTGGAGATCCATTCTGTATGATCTCATGGTAATCGACCCATAATCCTAGGAAAACATCTCTTTTAGCGAACTTAAGATAAGCACTATGACTATTCAGTTAACCCTGTTGGTTCCAAATCTTCATAGATGTACTAATTTTCAGTCTCTCAAAGTCCATTCAGGAAACTCCTCTCAATGGAGGAAATGATCTGTTACGATGGTAAAGCATCCAAGTGATTCTGAGCTCAGCCGTTTAGTCTTGCGTAACCTTGCAGAAGTTACTTAACCTTCCTAAGTTTGTTTCCCTGACTGTAAAACAAGACAATTTCACAATAATTCTCAAATGAGGAGATGGGAATTATTTGTGCATTTTTCCTTAACTTTATTTCTTTTTTCTTCTCCTACTGGGGATTGAACCCAAGGCTATTGCACCAAGCTAAATCCCCAGCTCTTTTATGTTTTATTTTGAGAAAGGCTTTTGTGAAATTGCCCAGTTTAGGTTCAAACTTGCAATCTCCCTGCCTCCTTGCTGGGATTACAGACTTGCAACACCACATCTGGCTTTCAATCTTTTAATTAGAGGCGGTTACTATTAAAAAGTGAGAAATGTTTCCTAATGACAAGATAGGCCCAATAGACCAAGGAATATAGCATAAAACTCTTAGAAGCCAGAACTTTCCAACTCACAACAGGTTGTCCGTTCACTCCATTTTACTAATAGTGGAGGAACCCATAGATGGATTTTTTTTTTCATAGAAGGATAAGAGAAAGTTGGCTGAAAAGTAACTTATGATGAACCCAGAGTGGCCTCAGAATGCAGGATTCCACAGTGCTTGCTGCCTGATTGTCACTAAGAAAGTTGCCTGGAACTGACAGCCTAAATCTGTCCACTTCTCCCTCCTCCTCACAGGGTGAATGAACAGATGAGCACATCTGCACCTATGTGGTCACTTCAAGGTCTGGATAATTTTAAGGTCACTGCAATCTGACTTTCCTTTAACACTGCTGTGGCCCCCTGTCTGCTAGGGATCTGTATGTAAGAAATTCTCATTACAAGATTTTTCTTTCTCTGATCATTCAGTTCTTCGTCTCAGGGATTTCTGCAAGTGCAAATACTGTTTCTTGATGTTAGCTTCTGTCTGTGGGTCTGCTAGCTGCTCAGCGGGGCTGACCCGGTTGGCCGCCCGATGGATGGGTTGCTGGTAGTCAGGAGGCCCCTGACATCACTCTGTGCAGTGCTTTCTCTTTCACATTCTCACGCTTGCTTCCCCAGCTGACGGCTCACAGGGTGGGTGCCGCTTCTGTGGGCACTGCTGAAAAGTGAGGGCAGCAATGTCCGACATCCTCCGGGAGCTGCTCCGCATCTCCGAGAAAGCGGCCAACATCGCCCGGGCGTGCAGGCAGCAAGAAGCCCTCTTCCAGCTGCTCATCGAAGAGAAGAAGGAGGGAGAGAAGAACAAGAAGTTCACCTTGGATTTCAAGACCCTGGCTGATGTGCTGGTACAGGAAGTTATAAAACAGAACATGGAGAACAAGGTAAAAACAGTCACAGGATGGTGGCTCAGGAGTTTGCCTCTGTGGTTTTTCCCCCGTGGAATAGCATAACTTTGACCTCCCGTAGGCTGGATTTCAAATACACACCTTGGGGTTTCCACCCTTGTTAGGACTGCAAAATTAATAAAGTATTCATTGAGGAAAATCTTTAAAATACAGAACAGAAAACACAAGAATCACAATTTTAACACCTAGAGATGAACATTCTGTATAGAACCTTTCATTTATTGGGTTTCACTAAAAATCACTCATTTATTAATGAGTTTCATCTTAATAAACAATACATACTCTCTGAGACATAAGCAAAATTAAGAATCCTTTTAATCCCACCACTAGAGAAAACCACAGCTGTGTTCTGCTAGATATTGTTAGAATATGTTCTTTCCATGTTCCTGTGTGCACATGACCCATATAATTTATTTCAACAGAAATGAGAGCACACTGTTTCATAACCTTAATTTTTTAACTTGATATAGTTAAGTCTTATCTTTTGGACTTAATCATTTATCTCATATTTGCCTTTGTTATGGGCTTGTGCCTAGATAAAGCTTCCATTTATTCTACTAGAAAAATACTGTCATAAGTAACAGTGATGGTGATTCTAAGTACCTTCAGCTAATTGGAGAAATGGTATTCAAAAATAGTATTAATAATGGTAATAATATTAGCAGATACATACTCCCTGTTCTAAGAACTTTAAATATATTCACTTACCTAATTTTTATAACGATTTTGTGAGGTAAGAACCATTATTTTAATATAATGGATTTTTAAAAAGGGCATGGAGAATTTAGGTAACTTAACATTACACAGAAAATGAGTGGCCAGGCGAGTTTTTGAACACAGACAAGCTGGCTCCAGAGTCTGTTATTTGCAATACTATATTGCCTTTTATATGATAATCCAATAATGTTTCCATGTTTAGGAAGATAGAACCTTATGACAGAAAGCATTATAAAATAGTGGAATATATTCTATAAAATTCTAATTTGGAGAATCATTTAGAATCATTTACATAAATGTTAGCCATAGGCAGGAAAAAAGAATAAATGACCCCATGAAATTTCTACAAACTATATTCTTTCTTGCCTCATCTGGCTCCAGTCAACTAAGTGAAGAACTTTTATTTTTGTTACTGAGGGACAATTGAACAACTGGATTAGATATGTATTGACATTCATTTTTATAGGCTAATATTTACCCCAGAGCGTTGTAACAAGTTCAGGCAATTGCTCCTTCATGAAGTAAACGCCAGAATGTATGTACTGTCACTCAATTTCGGTTATATACAATATTTTTATTTCATATCCTAGTAGCCTTAGCAAAGATCTGTAAGCAGGCTTAGGAGACAAAGCGTTAGTCCGTGCTGAGTAACTTGGTTGCCAGCTCTTGCAGGCTTGTAAAGAGAGAGGAAAAAATAAGTGGTAGCTGTTGGCATTATTAAAGCTTCTGACCATCTGCAGGCAATGGAGTTACAGTATTTGAAGCATTTCCTTGCTTTTGTTCCCTGAGAACATCATCAGGGAACATCATTTGGCACATATCTTGAGAAAAATGTCTTTACGACTGAGGATCAGAAACAATATGTGTCAGAAAGCTGCTCAATCATACAGAGATGAGAGGAGGCTCTGACGACTCCATTTATTCATTTGGTATTGATATATAAATTATTGGTCAATAAAATAGTTTGCTTTTCAGGCTAGCAAGGTAATATTGAAAAAAAGCTATTGGTAAGTCCAATAGGTACAGAAACCCATTTGAAAAATGCAAATAAAATCTAATGGTATCTTCTCACTTCTTCTTTCTAGTCTTAGTAATTTAGGTACTTGACCTATAATACTACCTTGTGTAAGCCATTCGTGTGCTGTTTAAGAGCAATAGTTAAAATATCTCCTTTGCAAGCATTCTAGTTCTATGGTCCTTATACATGGGAGAAGGACAAGACATAAAAAAACCAGTCCTCCACCATGATTTAGACTTTCTGAGTGGCAGATGAACAGGAATACGTTAGAAAACTGAGCACTGAACCAAGCTGGCTTCAGTTTCGTATGTCAATTTGTTTCTAGAATTAGAAATTCCTGAATTTCAGAATTGTGTGATTTAACTTGGAATGTAAAATGGAAATCTGTTCAGAATTGAAAATGTGTGTGGGTTTTTGTTGTTATTTTGGGTTTTGTCATATTCTGAATCATTCAGTTTCCAGGCTTGGAAAAAAACATTTTTGGAGAAGAATCTAATGAGTTTACTAATGATTTGGGTAAGTATAAGAATCTTAATATGTCTTTGTTACTTAATTTTCTTATAGTATTCTGATCTCCAATTTACACCATGAAATAAATGGATATTTGAAAGCCTTTCCGTGTAGACAACATGATATAGTAGAATGTTAAACTTCTTTCATTGAAATATCATGCCATTTAAGTTAGAGATTTATGTTCTCTTAGAGTAGTCCAGCAAGTCCATGTATCATTTAAATAATTTGTCAGTTAACCTTTAGGAAAGTTGTATGGCCCATTGGGAATCTAATGGGGGTTCCTGGTGTCCCCAGATTGATGTACAGTGGTATGGACAATTTCGGTTCCTAGGTAGAAGCCCATTTGTGGATGTCCTGAGGGGTCCATGGCTCTTAGCTAAGAATGTGAGGAGGTCCTGGCCCTGAAATACTGGGTGATCTTAAACCAGTCACCTTCTCATTTCTCTGGGTCTCAGAATGTCTGTAAAGGTACTTAAACCAACTGAAAGGTTCCTTTTAGTACCAAGTTTTTTGTTTGTTTGGGCACTGTGTTTTGTTTGAGATGGGGTATTGCTGTGTTGCCGAGGCTGGGCTCAATTCTTGGACTTAGGTGATCCCTCCACCCAAACCTCCTAAGTAGCTGGGACTCTAGTAGTGTGCCACCATGCACGACTGGTATCATGTTTTTAGTCTTACTTAGTTTCCGGTGGGTAGAGTCTCCTGGTGTTATAGGGGGAAAATATCACAATATCTGATTATTTTCAGAGATTTTTTTTAGTTTGTTTGGGTTTTTGTTTAATGGTAGAATTCTAAAATAGTAAACATTAAACATTGATCCTGAGGGCCTGGGGATTTAGCTCAGTGGTGCTACGCCTGCCTCACAAGCGCAGGGTCCTGAGTCTGATCCCCAGTACCGAAAAACAAAAAAAACAAAAAAACATTAATCATGGGACAAATAGTTAAATATCTAGAAGCACACAAAGAGAAAAAACTTTGTAGTCTCTCATGGGCTCTGTGTTACAATGCACTTAGTTCTAAGATAGTAAGAAGAAAGAAAGCCCCTTTAAGGTTCTGAAGGTTAATAATGACTCCTGTAATTAGCTCACAAGAAGCCCTCATTTGAAATCCTACCATTGACTACTTCATATTATTTTAATATTTCATATTATTTTAGTACTCCATTTATCAAGAATTGTGGGGACAAAAGCCTCATTCCATATCCATTTTCGTGTTGAAAGGGCAAAGAAACATGGAGATGCGGAAAGATGGCCAGATGGTGTGAGCGCAGGCAGCGGCAGATCATAGACAGGGAACTGGATTTCTCCAAGTGTGATGGGAATATCCTGGCCAGTTTTAAGCAGAGGAGTAGTACAACATGACTACTCATTGGAACGAGGATCCCATGACTTTTTGCCCAAAGTAGTGCTCAGTATCTGGGAGTGATTAGAATTATTATTCCCCAACTTTAACTGTCTCATTTGGATGTGATTTCAGTAAACTCAAGGGACTGTTTTCTTGCTGATTCAGAGTTGTCTCTGTGGGCTGAGGCGTAGCTCAGTGGTCAAGCGCTTGCCTGGCATGTACAAGGCCCTGGGTCTCATCACGAGCCCAGAAAAAACAAAAAATCAAAAGCCCAAGTCCTCATTGTAGTAGATTCACACTGTGCTTCCCAAACCTTACCAATCACTTCTTCACCTCGGGATCTTGTTAAAATTCAACAGGTCTGGGGTGAGGCTGGAGCTGTGAGTTTCTCTCAGGCTCGCCTGGGATGCAGGTGCGGAACAGAAAGGAGAGCTAGGAGTATGTGAATGCATACGGGGAGCCCCACAGTGCCATGTTTTCGTTTTTAGAGAGTTTTTTTGTTTTCTTCATTGCTGTCAGTTTTTATGATTAATTTGCCCATCTGTAGGAACTTCCTCCCTCCCTTCGGTTGGAGTCTGGGGGGAAGCACTTGGACTTGTAATTTTGGCTTCTCTTGGAGAAGCAACTTTTCTTACATCCTGCTTCTCAGTGCTGTAGAGGGGAGCTATCCCTATCTGTGTCATTTTGAATTATATAACTTTACTATGTTTAAAGATTAATAAACTTCATCTTATATTAATGAACTGAAACAATTTTCAGCTAAAAGGATTACAGAAGGAGGTAGAAGTCCTTCAGCATGCTTATTAAGCCTCCATTCTTTTCAATAACATTTTTATGCAAACAGTAACATATGCATAATAAAAGTCAAAAGGAAAAAAGAAATAACTAATATTTTATCGAGGATTCACAGGGTTTCTTTACTAATCCATAGATCCCCTTAAATTGGATACAAAATTCTGTCCATGGCGATTTTTCTGGGGGGCAGGCCTTTTGGTTCCTGGAATACAAAGCCCTCTTGAGTTAAGGGAATCAGGCCATTGGGGATTTGCGACTTGGTGAAGTTCCCTAGGTGATTCTGCCAGTCAGCCAGGTCCAGGACCCACAAGTGTGGATCCATTACCCTCATCTAGTCTTCTGTGTGCCTGGGGTGTGTGTGTGTGTGTGTGTGTGTGTGTGTGTGTGTGTGTGTGTAATGTTTTTGCAGTACTGGGGATTGAACCCTGGGTCTTCATACTGAACTATATCATCAGTCCTTTCTATTTTTTACTTTGAGATGGGATCTCATAAGTTACTAAGTTGCTCAGGCTGGGCTTGAACTTGTGATCCTCCTGTCTCGGCCTCAGAGTGCTGGGGTTACAGGCATGCACCACCACACCTGGATGCCTTCACATAGTCTTAAGTGCATGGCTTTTACCGCCTCCTCTTTGGCCTTCTCTCTCTTTTCACCCACCCTCATGTTGTTTTTTCTCCACCGAAACTCCTGATATGCAATGGCTTTTAGTTTGTCTTTATTCTAGGGGAAAAGATTACCATACAACTGTGCTCAACAGAGGAAGAAACCACAGAGCTTCTTAGCAGAGTCCTCAGTGGTAACAGATTGGCATCTGAAGCGCTGGCCAAGGTTGTTCATCAGGATGTTGCCTTCGGAGACCCAGCTCTGGATTCCATAAACATCAGCATTCCACAGGACATTCTGGGAATTTGGGTGGATCCCATAGGTAAGTATAGAGACTGTGTTTGCTGCGGTTGCTTTTATGTGTTCTTGCTTACCATCCTTTTATTTTCATTTTTTGCCTTGGGAAAATAAAAATTATTGAGAATGTAGTTTTCACTTTCCTAGAAGTTTTTTAAGTTTCAAAATGATAAGGGTGGAGACATGCTGTAATGTTGTGTTATGGCTCTGCATATAGACATGCATATTACAGCTACGTGTACACACATTTATATGCACATCTCTAACAAAATGAACTAACTCATCTTTAAAAGACCTCAGGGGCCAGACTGGTACGTGAGAGCATGAAATGATATACTTATGACCAATTGAGACACGTGCTAATAGAAAAGCATTGAGCTCCAATAGATCTTGATGTATGGACATACAGGCCAGATCTTCAGACTTTTAAAAGAAACCAAAATCCATGTTTTTAAAGTCAGAGCTCCCAGTTTTTAACCATTGACTAATTCAATTAAATAAGGCAACAGCGAATAACACAGTGGAGGTCAGGTAGAACACAGCCCTGTCTCACGAGCAGTCAGTTTGTAAGCCTGTGTAAACCTTACCATTATTTTTTGTCCTTATTGTAGGAGGACCATAATCTATAGCTCATTGTTTAAAAAATGTTGCCCAGGGCCAGGGATTTAGCTCAGTGGTTCCACCGCCTGCCACACAAGCACAAGGACCCGAGTTCGATCCCAGGTACCAAAAAAAGTAAAAAATAAAAAATGTAGCCCATGTTCTCAATGATGCCATTAATGCAAAGTCTTCAGTATTAATATTAAAAAGTTCCTCACATGGTTTTCCCTTCCCTGACATATACCACCCAACACAGCTGAGAGCCCATGTTATGCTGAGCAGGCATCCTCCCCGAATCTGCCCATCCCACGACACATGAACACAGTGTTACAGAAATGGGTTTCACTAGCCGAGCATGGTGGTGCATACCTGTAATCTTAGCTATTTGAGAGGCTGAGGCAGGAAAAGCACTTGAGCCCAGAGGTTCAAGACCAGCCTGGGAAACAGAGTAAGACCTTTTCTCAAAAACAAAGCCAGGGATTTAGTTCAGTGGTGCTGTGCCTGCCTCCCAAGTGCAAGGTCCCGAGTTCCATCTCCTGTACCAGAAAGAAAAAAAATTGAGAAAGGGAAGGAAGGAAGGAAGGAAAGATAGATAGAAGGAAAAAAAATGGTTTATCAGAGAATTACATAACATTCACCACTGGATTATATATGAAGACGAACACTCTTTTCCAAAATCTTTCCTCACTTGAGGGTACATTGGCATCAGTTAGGATTTCAGAAACAGAGGGAGCCCCTGTCCCTTGGTTCTACCCTGAAGCGGCCCTGTTACCTACTGTAGCTCTCTAGACCTTTTACCAGGCACATCCTTATCTGTGTGCTAGCTCCCTGGATGTATCCCTTAAGGGGAAACACAGCTCTTCAACTCCTCCTCACAGGAGCACCATCAATTTCTTTCCTCTTATGCCCTCACCATTGTCTATTCTTCCTTCTAACTTGAGGAACCAAATAATAGAATAGTAATATGTGATTCCATCTCTGCCAGCTTCCTGGAAGGAAGCTTTTCCATCTGCATTGGACTAGTCCTTCAGTTTCCCTGAATTGTTAGCTTTTAGATACTTTTGCCATGTGATGAATATTTGAGTGTTTGTTATTGTGCTAGATGCCACAGGAACTATGGACATGTCCTTTCCCATCAGTTCTCATATAGGCAGGAAAATACAAGAAGCCAAATAACAAGTCAATACAGTGACATCCGAAGGTAAAACCAGAGGGGTAGAAGAGATAAAATTGAGATGTAGGACAAAATTGAGAGATGTGTTATGGTTAAATCTAGAATGTCCTTCAAAAGCCTCATGTGTTCAGAGGCGGAGCTTTTGAAAGTGAGTGGATCATGGGAGAATCATCCACTGATGAGTTCAATAGCTGAATATGATGCCCTTGTCAGAAGAGCCAGGTCACTGGGGTGTGATGTGGGTGGATGTAACTTCCTCCACTGTTTCTCCCTACTCTCTGCTTCCTGGCCACCATGATGTGAGCAGCTTTCCTCCTCCCGAACCCTTCCCCCATACCATTTCTGCATTTGAGCCTACCGACCATGCATAGACTGAAACTTCTGGAACCACGAGCTCAAACTAAACCTTGCCTCCTTTAATTTGCAGGTGTCGCCTGTTATGTCTGCACAGTGAGGAAAGCCAAGATATATTCATTATTTTCTAAATAATCTTTACCTGGATCTCAACATGTTTGTTTCATTTTTTCAGATTCAACCTATCAATACATTAAAGGTTCTGCTGACGTTAAAGCCAACCAAGGGATTTTCCCCTGTGGCCTTCAGTGTGTCACCATTTTAATTGGTGTCTATGACATACAGACAGGGATGCCTCTGATGGGAGTCATCAACCAACCTTTTGTGTCACAAGACCTAAACACACTCAGGTAAAAGATGGACACTTTTGAGCTATTATAGCTTTTAGAACTTAAAACCTCAGTTTTGCTTATTGCCATGCCATTCCCAGGACTGGATACATTAGGGGGTTCTTGCTAAAAGTCCACAGGTTTGAATTAAAGTTCTTTGTATTTTCAGTCCTGGATTTGGCATAATTTTATTTGGACCCACATGTATGCTGGTAGGAATTTTAAGAGGTAACATCTTCAGAAATCATCCTTTCATATGTGCAGTATAGCAACCCTGTTCTATGTTTCTGGAATCCACTCAAAATATAATTAGTAGGAGGCAAACTCTGTCTTACAATACGTTTGGAGCAAGATAGATGTCATCACTATACATCCAGTTGAACTTTTGTAAAATCTAAACTTTAGCTTAGACAAAACTAAAAAAAGTGTGGAAAATGTCCAATGCAAAGATTGATCGGTGTGGCCAGGGTGAGCCCAACTCGGGTGTCTGTTCTCACACACACTGGCAGTATTTTCAGCCTCCCCGCTCCTTGGCCTTCCTGTGAAATCTCAGACAGCATAGTGAAGTCCAAGTGCAAAAAGCAGCCTTGGTTTTTTTATTGAAATAGGTCATACTTTTCCATTCATATAGAACTACATATGTTTATCAAATGTTGAATTACTTCGGATAAGAATAGTTTACTCTTTAACAGACATAAGTTGACATTTCTGGAATTTTGATATTTTCCCTCTACCTCTTGCTTTTTTCTTCCAAAGGAAATATGTGGTTTGGAATCATCTTTAAAAGGTCAGTAAGAAATTAGGAAGTACTGGGGAAGTGTGCAGACATACTCCTGGCCTAGAACTGGGGGTAGTGGACAAAGCAGTTAGTGCTACAGATTCTAGAGTAAGACCCTTTGGGTTTGAAAGCAGATTCTACTACTACATATGAGCTGCCTGGGCCTTGGCGCCTTACTTTCTCTAAGCCTCTGTTTCCTCAACTGCAAATAGAGTGAGTTACCCAACATAGAAGGCAAATGCATTAATAAATGGAAAGTGCTGTTATCATCATTCTTGCCAAAAATAACCACATGGTGAGTCTCCTTTGGTGTCAAGCCAAAGTGGAACCAGTGCATACAAGAATAAAAAGGACACACCATGACGAAAACTTGTTATAAAAGACTGTAAGAAATTTGCAGATTGATGTATCTGTTCATCTTTTCTCCTGCTAAACTTAAAATGCCAAAAGTGTTAATAAAAGTTTGTAGTTTCTGGAGACCGGAAAGCCCAGAAATATTTTAGTGTTGTCCCAGATTGAGACGATAATGCAATAAAATTGAAAGCATTCCTAACTCTGTAACAATACAGGTAGCTGCATGCATAGGAGTAACTTTTAGAAACAAATTAGCTATTTGATATCTATTTCCAGGCTTAGGGATGTGGAAACTCATGTTAATGATGAATCATGTATTTTTTCATGTCCTTAAATTTGAAAGCAATATGGATAATGAAAGCAAATGAAATAACCAATTCCATCAACTGAAATTTTCCTTCTCCAGGTGGAAAGGAGAGTGCTACTGGGGCCTTTCTTACATGGGGACCAACATCTATTCACTCCAGCCCACCACCTCTAAAAACAGTGGCAAAACCCATCCTGCAAGCACCAGCTCTGAGGGCAAATCCCCCCACCCTTTCTCCGCTGTCATTAGTACAAGTGAAAAGGAGACCATCAAAGCTGCACTGTCACGGGTGTGTGAAGACAGCATCTTCCGGGCAGCTGGGGCTGGTTACAAGAGCCTTTGTGTGGTCCAAGACCTTGTGGATGTTTACATCTTTTCTGAAGACACCACCTTCAAGTGGGACACCTGTGCCCCGCACGCCATCCTGAGGGCTATGGGTGGGGGGATTGTGGACATGAAAGGATGCCTAGAAAGAAGTGCAGGAGCAAGGCTGAGTCTGCCGGAGCTGCTGTATCACACGGAAAACACAGGAGCCACTGGGGTCGATCGCTGGGCCAACAAGGGAGGACTGATTGCATACAGGTCCAGAAAGCGGCTGGAGACCTTCCTGAGCCACCTCCTCCAAAATCTTGCATCTTTGGAGTCACAGACATAGAAGGGCTCTGATCTCAATGTACACATAGACTGAACTATTTTCCATTATCTCTGTCTTTTGAAGATAGTGTTGTCCTGTTGGTGGTTAATGCACATCTTCCTCTTTTGAGGAGCATTTTTCCATTTTGTGTTCATAATGTTAATTTTGGTAACTTAATGACATTCATGCAGCAATTAAGTATGATATTCTTACAGTAAATATTGTACTGCTAATGTTGCTTGAAACACTTCAATAAAATACTGCAGAAGAAAAATTCTGTTCAGTTAGTAGGGCTACTCTAAACATCTGAGTTATAAGAGGAATACCACTGAAATATCAGGGAAAATACTAAAGGGGTTCGCTTGGGTTTTGTTTCCTGTCTTGATGGGAAAATCTGCCAGTTTAGAACTTTGAATTTGCATAATGTAGCCAAGTTCAAGTATTTTCATACTATTCTTGTGTTTCTCATAAGAAGGAAAGCCTGGAGCACTCAGGAGAGAAAGCTAGGTATATGCACAGAGAGAGGAGGGGGTGGAGAGAGAGAGAAAGATGCAGACACTCCATTTGTGTAGGAGAGAATGTAAAGGAGTAAAGAGGCTTTTGTAATTTTTGCATATTTACTACTCTTGCCAAAAACCAGAGAGAGGCTTCAGATATATGAACCCATGGGTATAACAGTGTCCCACACTTGAATGCTCTGAGATGTGCACTGGCCACTTTTCCTGTGTTCTTTGGCAGGCCTGGCAGCCCGGGGTGCAGGAGGGGGGCTCAGACACTCAGCTCTGACTTCTTTCTGCCCACCACCCTCTAGGGGCCAAAGGTGTTTTTTTCCCCTACAATTACAAAGGAATGAAAATAACACTCCATTTTTTCTTCTAATGTCTTTAGATTTTAAAAAATTGACGAATGTTGTATACATTTATGTTGTATAATATGATGCTTTGGAATATGTATACATTATGCAATGGATATATTAATAATACTGTCTCACTTTTTTGTGGTGAGAACACTTAAAAGCTACTGTTAGCAACTCTCAAGTATACAGTGTATTGTTATGAACTGTAGTGACAACATTGTAAGATAGATCTTTCCACCTAACTGAAATTTTGTTCCTTTGATCAAAGTCTTCCCAATCCTCATTGCTCACTCCCAGTAACCACCATTCTACTCTCTGCTTCTATGAGTTTGACTTCCTTAGTGTTCATATATAAGTGAGATTGTGGGGGATTTGTCTTTCTATGTCTGGCTTATTTCTCTTCACATAATAGCTTCCAGGGGTTCATGTTATTCCAAATGACAGGATTTCCTCCTCTTTTAAGACTGAATAACATTCATCGTCTACACAGCATATATTTTCTTTATCCATCCATCCATTGATATACACTTAGGTTGATGCCATACCTTGTCTATTATGAACACTGCTGAATGAACATGGGAGTGAAGATATCTCTTTGACAAATGAAATTGTGTTTCTGTAGTCAAACAGTTCAGAACTTTGCTGCATACAGCAGATTCTGTGGTTGATACAGTGATGGGGTTACAAGTTTTTAATTTCATTGTGCTCTGTGTTTGGCTGTGGACTCTCAAGATGCATATTTTTGTCACTGACAGTCTAGTTTAAAGAGCTGATTTGAAGTCAAAGTCAGTTCATTCTTCACAAACCACATTAGGAAAATCCAGGACTTCTGGCCCCATATGCACCAGCATGGAGAAATAAAATATGGTTCAAAAAAAAGCATATGTTGTCAGTAAGAACATTTTTAGAATATGTAAATTAACATTCAGCAAAAACAGTCATCTCCAATGAGATCTGAATAGACAGTTTCTCAGTTAATTAGAAGAGAAAAAAGCTGGAGAAAAGAAGGAATCAAACATTCTGTAAACATGCACAGTCAGCCTTCTGTATTCATAGCTTCCACATCCACAGATTCAACCAACCTTGGATGGGACATATTTTTGTTAAGTTCACCTGCACTGAAGTTCACAGACTTTTTTTCTTGTCCTTATTCCTGAGCCAGTATAATATGGCAACTGTTTACATTGAATTGAGGTATTAAAAGTGATCTAGAGATGACTTAAAGCATATGGGAGCCGATGCATAGGTTTTATGTGACTATTACTCCATTTCAGAAGATTTGAGCACCTGTGGGTTTGGGGCCTCGGGACACAATCCTCATCTGGTCCTGAGTGGTCCCCACACACTCAGAATCTTTACAGAGAAGCTGAGGCCCTTTCTTAAAGCCTGTGTCTGGACAGGTCTACGTTTTTCTTGCATAATTACCACACCCAAGTGAATATGATTCCTAATTTTAATTTCTTTACAGGAGGAATTTGAAAATATTTGCAAAGCAATTAAGGCCATAAACATTCTGAATCTTTATAACTTTCCCTTCTAATTTTGCATTTGTTCTTTCTCATTGGTACATGTTTGCATATGTAATGATTCCATTCATCATGTGGAGTTGGTACATGGACGCAACATCTTTTTCGTTTGCTTTGTTTTGGTACCAGGGATCGAACTCGGGACCTTGCGCTTGCGAGGCAGGCACCAGAACCACTGAGGCAAATCCTCGGCCCAGGACACAACATCTCATTTCTTTCATCCCCTTCCCCACCTCTCCATCTCTCGTTCCTCTTCCCTTTTGTAAAAAAGATCTTGCTCCCTATTTCCTTTCATCTTTTTTTTGGAAAACTTTATTTCAATGTAATACAAGTAGCTATTATCTATCTTTCATTTTGCTATTTATATTTTGGGTTTTTCATATAAGAGAAACCATGCGATATTTAAGATTGTGTGTCTGATTCTTGCACTTAACATTATGGTCTCAAGATGCATTCACTTTCCTACAAATGACTCAAGCTTATCTTTATGGCAGAGTAGTACTCCATTGTGTATAAATACCAGTTTATCCATTCATCTGTTGATGGACATATAGGCTGCTTCCAAGATTTAGCGATTATGAGTTGTGCTGCTATAAACATGGGTATGCATGTATCACTGTAATATGATGTCTAACTCTTTCAGGAAGATACCTAGAAGGAAAATAACTGGGTCAAAGGGAATTTCTGTTTTCAGTATTTTGAGGAAACAATACTGATTTCCATAGAGGTTGTACTAGTTTAAAATTTACCAACAATGTTGAAGACTTCATTTTCCTTGCAGTCTATTAGATTTGTTGATGATGGCCATTCCTTTGGAATAAGAAAGAATCTCAGTGTTGTTTCAATTTGCATTTCTCTAATGGCCATCAATGTTAAACATCTTTTTTCATGTATTTATTGGCCATCTGTATTTCTTTTCAGAAGTCTATTCATTCCAGTTTTACTGTGGGGGATCTAATTTTTTTTTTTGGAAACTGAGAATCAAACTCAGCTCCTTGCACTTTCGAGGCAGGTGGCAGAACCACTGAGCTAAATCCCTGGCCCAAGATCTAATTTTTATATGTTTAGAATCTTTATATTCTAAACGTTAGTTCTCTGAGAAATAGCTGGCAAAGTTTTTTTACTCCAAGGAAGGAAATAGAATAGGATGTGAGAAAATGGGTAGGCAGAAACAATATTGTCAAAATGGCTATACTTCCAAATGTGATATACAGACAATGCAATCCGAGTCTAAATACCAACAAGATTCATAACAGAACTAGAGAAAACAATCATAAAAATTAATATGGAACCAGAAGAGACCCAGAATAGCAAAACCAACCCAGAGCGACAAGAGCAAAGCAGGAGGGATCATAGCTCTGGACTTCAAGTTATATTACAAAGCTACAGTGATAAAAACAGCATGGTACTGGCATAAAAACAGACATGTGAATCAATGAAACAATAGAGGATGCAGTTACAATCCCAGGCACATTCAGCTATCTGATCTTTGACAAAAGGGCCAAGAACACATGAGGAAAGATAACCGTTTTAAAAAATGATGCCGGCAAAGGAAGACTGGCTATCGACATGCAGAAGATTGAATCTAGTACTAAACCAAAATAAAAATGGATCAAAGATCTAAATATTGAAACTGAAACAATCTACTGGAAGATAAAATAGGTAAAACTCCTGAAGACATAGACATAGCTAACGACTGAATAGAACCCTAATTGCACAAGAAATAGTGCCAAGAATTAGCAAATGGGATCATATTGAATTAAAAAGCACAGCAAAGGAAACAACCAACAGAATGAAGAGTCAACAATAGTTTTTTAAGACTCACTTTTATCAACCTTTACAAGGCCTTTAATTCTATGTTTTCAAACTCATGTTCCAGTATTTTCCATTACATTTAGTTAATTATTGAAAGTAAAATTGGGATATAGTTTTGGAAAGAATTCAGCAACTCAGTACACGAACAACTCTCTTGTTGGGAACAAGAGTTGGGGACCATGGGGAAGAGGCATGGTAGGGAGGAGACACCTGGCCACAAAGGTCAGGTGTCTTGTACACACACCATCAGTGTGTTTACAGGAGAATGGACAGATTATTCTGGAAGTGCTTTAGGTGCACACTGGTAAAAAGACAGCTTCTATTGCATATCAATAAAAGCAGTCTCTGGGAGCCCTAAGCAATGTATTCAATCAGAAAGCCCTCTTGGCTCCCCTTCGAAAATATACCCAGAATTCCAGCATTCCTCATCACTCCTCCTACCCCTATCCTGCTCCAGCCCCTCTTATACCTCACCTAGATTATTGCCTTAAACATCTAACTTGCCCCGTTATGTTTTATTCTCAGTGCAGAAGCCTGAGGGATCTCTTCCAAACATAGATCAGTCTCTGTGCTGTCCAAGATCCTCCAAATGGCTCAGTCTCTCAGGGTAAAAGCCAAACTCTACACAGCCTATAAAGCACAGTCTACACTGTCTACTTGCCCATGAGTAGGATGTCATCTGCTTTCACCTCTTGCCATAGTCTAAATGTTTGTGTCCTCTGCCAAATCCATATATTGAAATGCTAACCCTCAAGGTGCTGGCCCTGAGGGTAAGGCCCATGGGAGGTGATTGGGTTAGTGCCCTTATAAAAGAGGCCTGATGGAGACCTTTCACCCCTTCCCGTAGGTCAGGACACAGCACGAAGGTGTCATCTGTGAGCCAGACATTGACACTGCTCTGATCTGGACTTCAAGACTTCAGAGCTGTGAGAAATAAATCCCTGTTGCTTATAAGCTCCCCAGCTTATGGTGTTTTCTCATAGCATCCCAAGTGGCCTAAGACACTCTCGACCTTCACTTCCTTCCAGCCACTCTGCCTTTCTTATTGCCCCCTGGACTTGCCAATCAGGCTCTCTCCTTTGCCTTTGCTCCTCTTTCTAACTGGAAAACTTTCTCCAGGTACCAGCATAGCTCCCTCCCTCGTCTCCATCAAAACTTTGTTAAGATGTCACTGTTCTGGTATGGTCATCGCTTATCGCTCTAGCACAACCCCATGCCTCCTACCCAACTCTGCGCACCCTGCCCCCTTTCCGACTTCCCTCCACAGCCCCCGTTGCCTTCTAAGATATTGTACAACATCCCTTGTCCATCTTCTCCTCTAGAATATCAGCCCTACAAGGACAGATTGTCACATGTCGTCCATCTCCATTGCCTAGCACAAGCGTGGCAGGTAAATTCTGTTGTGTTTTCCAAGGATTATCCAGATTATTCTGAGAACTGTGATCCAACTAGGCGATCCCTGTATGGCGGCCCCTACCTCAGGTGACTGGAATACGTGTGAAGTGTGGCTGGTGTGGACTGAGAGGTGCTGTAAGGGAAAACGCACACTGGATTTTATGAAGGAAAAAAGCTAAACATTTTTTTCTTTTTGTGACACTAGGGATCAAACTCAGGGCTCACGCATGCTGGGCAAGTGCTCTACCTCAAAACTATACCCCCAGCCCTCAAAACTCTTTATGTTGATGACAATATGAAATGATAATATTTTGACTATGTAGGGCTAAAGAAAATAAATTGCTATAATTAATTTCACCTGTTTCATTGTACTTTTGTTAATGTAGCTATCAGAAAATGAAATTATGCATGAGTTCATCTCCTCTTTCTATTGCAAAGTGCTTAC